CGGGATCGGGCAGTGTTTCATTCTGCTGTGCATGGGGTCGCTATGAGTCGGAAACACTCGATGGCACCTAACAACAACAACAATATAGAGTGAACTGACAAAATAGTCCTGGCCTGTAATATCTAAGGGGAGCTCTGATACATAGTGCCTAAGGCATTTGACTGCTAACCGGAAAGCTGGCATTTCAAATCCACCAGCCACTCCTCGGAAGGAAGGTTGGGCAATCTACTTCCATAGTCACACTGCCTTGGAAACCTAAGGAGGGGTCGCTGTGAGTCAGGTCCAACTCGACGGCACATAACAACAACAACATAATATCTAAGATAAACTTACATTTCATGTTACTACAGATCAGAATATTCTGGTTCCTTAGCATTAGTTCTCTTGAGCCATGTTTTGGTAGTGCCTGTCATCAGATACTATAATGAGCAGTCTTAATATTAAAACAAAAAAAAACATACTCACTGCCGTCAAGTCAAATCCAACTCATAGCAACCCCTCCTTGGGTTTCCAAGGTGGTATCTTCTATGGAAGTAGTTTGCCCAACCTTCCTTCTGAGGAGTGGCTGCTGGATTTGAACTGCCAGGCTTCTGGTCAGCAGTCAGATACCTTAGGCACTATACCACCAGAGCTCCTCCTTCTTTTAATGTTAGTTCTTACAGTATGCTAGCCACTCTTTACATGTTGGTGTCATCTAAAAATGTAGAAACACAACATTTTAGATCTAGAAAGATCCTTGGAATTGTTTTATGTTAAAGTGTTCCTTACTCTTGGGTTGGAAACTACTGTACTCCATGGTGTTGTCTCCCCATGTTCCCTGTTTCACTTTCAAATTCTGATTAAAATTTAAAACCTAGTGACAATGCAGAGCCATATTGAATCATTGATAATTACTCACTGAACATAATTTCCAGAAAAGGCCAATACCAGTTGAGATACAACTATCTCAAAGAATGAGAATAGAAATGAAAGAAAGACATTGGTCAGGCTGCATTCGTTTGAGATCGTCCCGCCCCTGTTACACACAGACCAATGCAGTGATCAGTTAGTAGTGCTTGTCTTTGAGTATTTAACTTTCTTCTTAAAAATAAACATAGCACATACACACACACACACACACACACACACTCTACACCTGTATTTGGATTTCTCTACCACATGTTAGAGTTGATTTTGGCTTAGAATCAGGATCATATTCACAAAATTTATCTACAGAATTTTTCTGTCTTCTCATCGGGCTTGTGGAATTAGAAAACATTATATAGAACTAATTTTAGCCAAGGGTTACCCGAAGCATGAAGCATATATCTTTCTCTGACATTGTTGTTGTTGTTGTTGTTATGTGCCATTGAGTCAGCCCTGACTCATAACGACCCCTCTTTGGGTTTCCAAGGCAGTATCACTACGGAAGTAGGATTGCCCAACCTTCCTTCCGAGGAGTGGCTGGTGGGTTTGAACCGCCAGCCTTCTGGTTAGCCGTCAAGTGCCTTAGCCACTATGCTACCAGAGCTCCCTCTCTGACATTAGTCCCAGATAATTTGCACAAGAATTTCTGGACTTTAGCCAAGATTGGACGAGCCTTCAGTGACTTAGTTAAATTTTATTTCCTAAGTTTATTTTGCAATATTTTCCCAGTTCATTGACTGGAATTTGCATATTTGTGATTGGATAAAATCTAATTGCTTATACTCAGTATTTTGTGATCTTTTAAATATTTTAAATTATTAGTATTTTGGTTTTTACGTGTTACCATTGAATTTTTTTCATTTATTTTCATAATAAACAGATCATCCTAGTTTTCCTTTGTAAGAAAATATCCTTCTACCTTCTTTTTTGGCAGTTTTCCCCAATTCTTTATCATTTCTCTCCAGAGGATTTCTATAAATTAATCCTTCAGACTACAGTTTTTCTTAGAGTGCAGTTATGTGAACATATCAGTTAATTTAAGTCTTCTTTCAATGGAGCCTTTTTAGTATTGCTTTTTTATACACTTCATTAATAGCAGCGTCAACCTCCAAACTCGGGGTCTTTCAGGAGCATCTATCTTAAATCTTGTTTCTATATCTAATAAAGGGGTTGTTTCCATTATCTCTTGGAGCATAACAAACTACCCCAAAACTGAGTGGTATAAAACAATTGTTTCATTCTTTCTTACAATACCAGGGCTCAGCTAGATGGTTCTGCTGATCTTACTTAGGGTCTCTCATGCAGCTGCAGTACTGGCATATGAGGTTGGAGTATCCACATTGATTTCATTCTGGCCCCTTGCTTGGAAGGCTGGGCCCAACTGGGACGCTGCAATAGCTGAGATTCTCCTTCTCCACGTGGCCTGTTCACATTGTCTTTTCACCATAACAGCCCACCTTCTTACACGGCAGCTCAGGGCTTCCAAAGGGGCAAAAGTAGAAGTTGCCAGATCTTTGTAAGGCTAAGTCCCAGAGTCATTTCCAGTATATTCTGTTGGTTGAAGTGTGGCACAGGGTCAGCTCAGGTTCAGTGTGGGAGAAAATATACAAGGATGTGAATACAAGAATGACTCATTGGGGTCCATCTCTGGACACTAGCTACCACCAAGGTTGTGTTTTCCTTCTACCCTAAGACATCACTTCCCCTCTACTCCTTTTTCAGTTCCCTGTGTCTCTGATGGTTTGCCTAAACCTTCAAATATCACCTTCTCATCCATAAACATGAAGAATGTTCTACAGTGGAATCCACCGGAGGGCCTCACAGGAGTTGAAGTTATTTATACTGTGCAGTATTTCATGTAAGTCGGCTCTTTTCCCTTTGGCTAATTTATAAACACAAGACTCAGACTTCTGTTACTTGTGAAAACACAAACCATCTATGGTATTAAATAAGTGTTTAAAAGAAAAAAGGAAAATTTTAGATATTTCATGTTAAGTTTCCTCCTCACGTTTTATTAGATTAAATTAAGAAAACTTTCTTGTGGAGAAAGAAGCACTGGGCAAGGAGAACTTACTTAAATAGAGAAATCGATCAAAATATTATGTTGTGGAAGAGCAAACAAAAAAAACCTCACTGTGTCTAAAACTTTTAAGCTTGCTGCAACTGCAGACATTCTGAGACTTAGCGAAACTGATTGAGGAATTCTGAGCAGCCAGCTGTTCCTTCTAAAGGTAGCAGTGAATGAGCATTTTCACTTTTCACCTTTCACTCAAAACTCATCACAAACAGGAAAGAATGAGAAGCAGATAGAAAATGTCCATCTTCTAGGCAAAGGGGAATATACCTATGACCATATATAAGGTTGGCAGATGATACTTGTATGTGCTGTAAGAATGCCCATATAAATGATGGAGCTAACAAGGGGCAAAGTTAGGATAACTTCTTAGCCACAGCCAACCACCCTGAGGGAGCAAAGACTTGAAGCACTTATTGAAGATCAAAAATGGCAGCCTTCAGTATGGATTACACCTCAAAATAAAGAAAAC